TGGTGGGTGATTGGACATGGCATTGACGTAGAGAGGTGCGTCTCCAGGTTTACGATACGGCTGGAATTTCCCGGTGTCGAGGCTGAGCGTGACGTCTAGGAAATTCACTGTCGAAAGATTAACGTCGATAGTGATTTTTCGATCATACCGCTTGAATACTTCGATAATGGACTTCCTCGTGCGGTCGGCAACTGGCCCTGGTGCATTTTTCAGCACGGCAAGGCCGTCGTCTCTGTAAAGTCCAATTCCGGCCTCATCGACGTGCACAGACAACTTGCTCAATAGGAAAGCACCGACGAGCTCACATATCTCTGCTCCATCGTACGATCCCATCGCCACGTCGAAGTTGCATTGTGCGTTAACGCCAGTGATATAATGGCAAGACGCACGACATCAAGTGGCGAGTTGTTCAGAAGGCCAAGGCCTACAGCAACATAATGAAAAGATGCAGCCTGTGGCTCGAGAAGAAGGCGAGAATAATCACTGCCGACAGGAGATCGAGCCTCAACAAGCGGTCGGAGTTGATATCCAAATGTCGACATCAAAATAAATTCATGCTGTCAACACCGATAACATGATCTTCTCGGCACCCTGCTTCCAGGCAGTAGAGCCAGTTGATAGCTCTCTGCCGCCTTGTCACCATCATCATCTTTGCACCGCGGAACTCACTAGCTAGGCCAGCTCGGTTTTATCACCTTTATCACCTTAGTACCGCGATCCTTACTGGCTATGACACTGAATCGGATATGAGTTGATAGCGCCCCTAGCGCTTTTATCCTTGTCCCGCCATACTGGGCTTTAAATAGTGGGTTATTTTTCTTGATGTTCATTTCACCTGATGAGTGCCTGAGATGGCATGAAACTTTAAGTTGTGACTGATCGAGCTATCTGTTGTTCTGACTAGTGCGTCACGGCTCTACCTTCCCGGTATCGAGCTCTCTTGGATTTCTGCTGGAATTCACAACAGTGTGTATTCAATCTATATATATATACCAGCCCGGAACAGCGCGCACCGATTCACACTGGAGGCGCTGTACATTCGCAGTTTGACGCCAGAGCTGTGTCGACAAAAGAAGCACATCAAGGTGCTAAGGCTGTTCAAGCTGCAACCGAACTGACAACTTTATCACATGTTTGTTCTGGTACTGCATTCCCTACATTTGTTGTTTCCTGCATTTTTCCACTGCTGCATACATTCTTATGGTAGTGTAGTGTGAACTTGAGGCGCGTAAGAATATTCTTGCTGATTCTCTACCCCCAGTATAAATTCTGGCTTCGTTTTCGTTCTTGCTCATTCCCATGTACCTACTGATGAAAATGGGTGAAAAGCTTTTAGTATTATGAAACTGACAACCTTGTTGTTGTGTGTATATAAATTTTGTTCGCCTACCTCTCAATTTATATGTATCTATTATTGCACGATTAAAGAGGTCAATATATGAAATATAGAACGAGTAAAAGACCGAGGTCTCCCGAGGTCTTTTACGAGGTCTATATTTCATATATTGACCGATTATGAGGGCAATAATAGATTTATCACGACATAGCATACCTAAAACTGTTTTTGCTTTGCTATAGGAAGAAAGGAATACTATTGTAATAGTATAATAGTATGTACATTATGCCGTTTACATTGGACATTACTTCTGTGTAAACCAAAGTTTTCAGTTGTCTCTTGTAGTATGTTCCCCAAGTTCTTTGACTGAGAATCTGACAGTTTGGGTTCAAATCCCAGCATTTGGCTTCAGATTTTTCTTCTTTCAGTTCTGATTTTTTTCTAAGTTGAGGAAAAAGTTCTAAGTCCTCGGGCTAAGTGGTCAATAATAAGTGGTCAATATAAGCGGTCAATAGGGACCTTTCGCACCCCGCGTACGGATACGAAACGAATGCTGATTCGTCACCTGGGTTCGAGGATTCGTCAGAGTCCCTGCGGAGAACTCGTTTTCACGAATGGAAGCCTCTTCATTCGTGGCACGCTCCGAATCCGTCAGGTACACATTTATTTGGATAGGTACACATGTTTTGCAAGGTACACATTTTTCCCTTCATTCCATGATCCATGCACGTGTGCGTGTAAAAACCCGTACGCCAAACTACCGGCGCCTGCGGCCGTATTCGTAGTTGCCATGCACATTTGCATGACGACTTGCGAAACCTGAAATCTGTTTTCAACGAAACGATTACGAGCCGAATCAAACTTTCGTTTCGCATTCGTTTCGTAGCAAATGCGAAAGGTCCCTAGTATATGCTGATATTTGACCGCTTAGAGATCACAAGTTTCTGTGGGGGTCAATAATAAGAGAGTGATAAATATATTTATCACTCTTCTATATCGACCTCCACTAATTCTCGTGATCCTTGACTGGTCCTATATTACCCATATTGCCGCAATATCGACCGCTTATATCGACCACTTGTATCGACCACTTAGGCATTGTAATCTTTCGACTTTGGTGGGACTTAGAATTTTTCTCTCCACTTCAAAAAGAAAAATTGAAAGAAGACAAGGAAGAGAACAAGCAGGATTCGAACCCACAACAGTATGAATCTCAAGCAACCCCTTATACCACCCAGCCACTGTGCTGCAGATGTTGAACTCTGTTGTTCTTACAGTCTTGTACCCAAAAAAGGCAACATCCTATGTACACTATAGTACAAATGCTATACTAAAAAGGTTAAAATAGCTAAATTTTGGGGTGATGGCAAAGGAATCGTGATAAATAGGATATTGACCTCGACTTCGGTTGGTCAATATCCTATACTTATCGCCTTCTTAGTATTTGACCCCACTAATTTCCCTGATACCTAAGCGGTCAAATATATCGCGTATTTGACTGCTTAGTTAAATACACGATATATTTGCCTACTTATATTTGACTCCTCAGGCTGTACTCACACTACTTGAAAAACCGCGTACAAGTGACTTACGTGTGAATGTTGCCACGGTGACGGTTGCGAAAATGAAAAAAGCCCTTGAAAGCCGCTTGAAAGGTTTCAGCGGAAACGGAACCCTCTTCTACGAGGTTTTTTGCTTTCAAGCCGTTTGGAAAGCTGTGTGAGGTCAGGAGGCCGGAGTACTATTGTACGTTGAAAGGCTCCAGAATATGTTTCATGCTTTGTTTCCTCGTGGTCGTACTGCTCCTGTACATAATACTTGTAGTTTCCTTTTTCTGAATTCTGTGGTGTTTTTTCCGAGTAGTTTGTCTTCTTTCTTCCAGTAGCGTCCCGTTGTTTTGATTGCCGTTTCTGTCGCATTTCTTTTGTACCATTGCTTTTGTACCGACATCATACCTCTCGTAGTGTTTTCTTACGACTTGGAGAAGAAGCTCATCGAGCTGTGGAGAGAAACCTCTTCATCCGTCGACGTCGACGTCGACAATGTGCTACTTCTTCGCGAGGCATGGCGAACAAACTCCACGATCCAAGCAAGATATAACTGTTTCTTTTTTCTCATGAACTGAAAATTTCAAATAAGTTCAACGAGCGCAAAAAAATTGAAGGAACGCAGCCTCGGGATTTTCAAAACTACCACATGACAATCATGTTTCTCCATGGTAATTAATTATTGGTAATTTGCTGACAAAAATGTTAGTCGTCACTGTGTGCTTGGAAAGGCTTTTTCAAGTACTTTTGTCTAGTTTTGAACGCGACATTCGCGTCAAACTTTCAAGTAGTGTGAGTACAGCCTAAGAACTTCTTGGACTTAGAAATTTTCTATTCAACTTAGAAAAAGAAATTTTGAAGAAAGCAGAAATACACAAGATGGGATTTGAACCCACAACCTTGTGAATCTCAGTCACTCTTCATTACCACCCAGCCACCGTGCTACCAATGCTGAACCTAGTTTAAACAATGATCTTGACTTTCAATACAGTACAATGCGGTATAGGCTATAGTATAATACTAGAATTACAAGGATATGTCGTATATGAAGAGAAACTATTGCGTGGAGAACACGATAAATAGATTATAGACCTCATAGTTGGTCTATACAGGATATATAGACCGAGTAAAAGACCGAGGTATATATAACAGCATGCTGTCCGCAGATTGAGTATATATATATATATATGGCAAGGTACGTTCGGGCCTGATTGGAAATTTTTATTTCCATTGCTATCAGTCTCGGCCTCATTTCCTCTGTGCTGCGCTGATGAGTCCACAAAGGACGAAACAGTTCTGTCCGCAGATTGAGTATATATATATATATATATATGTGTCAACAAACAATGGATCACTCGTATTGTTTTGCAACTCCGAGTTTCATGCACCGTGTGCAATCATCAGGCAAATAATATTCAATGCAGACTGGTCAAAGCATAATGGGAATTTATTATTGCCCTCATAATCGGTCAATATATGAAATATATTGACCTCTTTAATCGTGCAATAATAGATACATGTGCACCAATTATAGGAGAGAGACGTGTGTGATGCAACCAGTTGCCGGAGTACCTGGAGGTCAGCATGCCGTGAAGCTGTTGCTTGTGCGCACCGCACCCGGACTGAGCACAAGATCAAGCCAGTTCTGTGTGACACCTGCGGCCGGAGTTTCTCCAGGAGCTCTTCTACAGTGAGGCAATGTGGCGTGGCTCTTTTGTAGACCTATAAATCATGTGATTTTTGACCATTTCCTATGGCTATGCCAATTTCAAGGTTCCCTTCAGAAACTTTTCCACTGGCTTGGCACCGTCGATCTACACCCCAAAGGAAACCTACCTGCATAATTTGAGTAAAGTCGGAGAGATCAACTTGCACACATTGTGTGGCATTCTCAGACATGCTCTCTTATTAAATTGGATACAGGCGAAAACAAGTTCAAGGCTTAGCGGGACCTCAGGTGTGCAATATCCAGTGGGCCATTGTGAATTGAATACGTGTGAGCGCGCGCACACACACACACGCACACGCGCGCACACGCACACACACACACACACACACACACACACACACACACACACACACACACACACACACACACAACACTGTGTTCAACTGACCTCCGCACAAAGTAACACCGACATAATCCCAGCGCTGTTGTGAGTTGCAGTAGGCCTTTCTTCCGGTGGGAGCAAATCCATCACTGCAAGTAGCAGTAGCGTTGGTTTCTTTAGGAGTCATTGGGAGATGTCCATTATGAAAACTTTCTTCAGGACAGTGGTTGGCTAGAAACGTTTCAAGAAAGACACAAAGCAAATTCAAAGAATTCACTTCCCCGACTGCTGTAAAAGCAGAAATTTTCGGTGGTGTTTTTTTGGTAACTTCGGTGCCGACAATTTTCACCGAAAATAAAACGTACCGAAAATTTCACTACCGGTACTGTATACACGTAGTAGTACCTGGAAAATGGGTTTTACCGAAAATTTCTCTCCACCGAACCGCTGATTTTGGAGAATACCGAAAATATTACACCACCGAAAATTTCTGCTTTTACAGAACTGTAGTGTGAGCATTTGGGCGTATTGATGAGAATTTACAGGACACGAGTACGTTCTCACAACCGAAATTTGTAGGTCAAAGAGAAAGCTCTCAGCTTTCGATTGCAACAGACGCCGAAGCGATACGAGCAACGATCATGAAGTTATTGTGCTCAACAGATACGTAAATCCAAACGCGCTCAAAGACCTTTTATGCACAGTGCGTGGGCACTTTATTTTCCTTTTTTTTCTCCTTTTTTCTGCGCATTTTGCCACTTGGTGCCATGATAACTTCTGTTTGAATCGAGCAGTAGACTTGCAGGCATGTTAAAAAAATCGAGCTCGATAAGAGCAAGGAGAGTCGAATGGCAGCTCATAACAAATTTCCTTGAAGTGTGCAACTTTGCTACGACTTTGGGACAACTTCGCTTGGTTCTAGAGCTGGTTTCCAGCCTTGTGAAGACTGATGCTTCTGTGCATCATTTGCCTAGTTAAAGCAACACGTAATTCTAGCTACTGTTGCAAAACTCGGTTCGAGTCTAATCTGCGCACTTCGCCGCTTGTCTTGTATACGTGTGAGTGCGGTGTGATGTGCGACGTATATGGTATGTGATGCATGTGTCACGTCCCTGAACGTGACGACTGCTGTCTGATAGTCCTGTGACAGCAGGTGTTGCGCAACGGGTCTAGAGTGAAAGACTTTTCATGGCTTATTTATGTTGTTCTTTAGTTTTATTGTGTAGTCACGTTAGTCTTGACTTTGTTGCATTGTTTTGGTTGCATGTGCAGTCTTCTGTACATGTATACACCATGCAACGCTTACGTCATCGTCGCGCGTGCAACATTATTTCGTGCGCATGCTCATTATATACTGCCGCAACGTTTGTCCTTTTCTTTAGTTATCAGTTTACCTCGTCGTGTCCGGTCTTCTTGTCTGTCCGTCTCCGTCTTGTCAAGAAATTATGTAGAACTCTTAGTTCAGGTTCGTAGTTGTGTGTGGCGGGTCGGATGGGCAGGGAGGCTGGGCCCCTGACGCCTGGACAACATGTGCGCGTGCACAAAATTTGGCGATCACGCCAGGATAGTCAGGGAAACGAGGAACTGGCAGAAACTCCGGTGCGAAGGAAAACGCATCGAGAACAAATCACCAAAATGACGTCGTCTGAGCTGAAGGCGCTGAGCGAGGAAACGTCTGCGAGGAGTGGCTGGCTCGTCGGAGCTGAATGCGCTGAGGGCAGATGAAATGGATGAACATCTGCGAGGAGTGGCTGGTCCGCCGGAGTTGAATGCGCTGAGGGCAGGGACGTCCCGCGAGGTGGCTGGTGAAGACGACGAGGTTGTTGCGACGGAAGTCGTTGGAGCTGAATGCGCTGAGGGCAGACGAAGACGGATAAACGTCTGCGAGGAGTGGCTGGTTCCTACGACAAGGACGGTGCGAAGGAAAACGCATCGTGAACAAATAACCCCATGTGAGTGTGACGCGGAGTTTGGAAGGTGCTCCTGCTGTGATTTGTTGATTAGTTTGATTCGATTTGTTTGTGTGGTTTGGTTTGCTCGATTTGTTTGTTAGTTCGAGTTTGGTAGTTCGGTTTGCTCGATTTGTTTGAGTTTGATTTGTTTCCTGGTCGGACGTTGACTTTCGTTGGAGTTAGTTTGTTGGCGTGTCGATAGTTTATTTGTTTATTTGTTGCCTCTTGTAGTTAGTTTGATTAGTACACTTGCGGCGTATACTCGTAGGGCACAGTGTCACGAACATCAGTCGTGATCATTTATGTGCCCCCTTTTTTGGCACCAAGCGATTCCCTTTTGTATGCACCCAGCCATGTCTGGCTGTCCTGCGGCTAGCAGTGTGCTCTACTTGCTCTCTGTTGTATGCATGTACCCGTTTCTGGCTGCCGTGCATGTCGCGGTGTGCTCCCCTTTCTTCGCATGTATCCATTTCTGGCTGCCATGCATGTCGCGGTGTGCTCTCTTTCTGTGCATGTATCGTTTCTGGCTGCTGTGCATGTCGCGGTGTGCTCCCCTTTCTGCGCATGTATCCGTTTCTGGCTGCTACAGCTCGCGTTGCGCTTCCCTTGCTCTCCTATGTGTACGCACGTCCATTTCTGGCTGTACACGCATGCCTATTTCTGCCTTCGCGCTGACCCCTGAGGAATCGCTTGAGCCTAGTATGGATCCAGTGATCCGAATGTAGCGCCGTTCTCAGCAAGAACTTGCCGACTTTATATTTTGTTGCTCTACAAGCAGCTTTTCGCTAGTCTTCTTCATGTCTCTTCTTAGAGTAGAGACCAGTTTTTTCCTGCTCTAATCAGTAGCTCAGAGCTACATCAATAGCAATAATAAAACCTTATAAAAGACAAAAAAAAACTCTTGTCGATGCGATGACAACGACGACAAACTGGTGCCGAAACCCTACTAAGTAGATGCCAGCGAAGAAGGATAAGACGCCCGTCGGGACTCTGTTCCTCAGACGTAGGCAGGCAGGTGCATGTGCAGCAAGTAGCCATTCAGAGAGACATCAAGGAAGCCTCTGCTCTGCTCCAGACCATCGAACCTGCATCTCCCGATCCGGACACCTTGCAAAAGCTAAGTTTCTTGTGCTGTGTTTTAGAATCTTCCTTATTAGCATATGACGATTTTTGTGGTAGTTTAGCTGAGATTTTGGTTCCTGAGAATCTGGGTATCTCTAAAGAAGATGTTGAAACTGAGTTAGACGATTGTGTAAATTGCTCATCATCTGTACGCTCCACAATCACTGCCATCAAACGCACGTTACACACGTCATCGCCTAGCGCGATCGGAAACCCAGCTGGCGCTAGCGACCCAGACTCACATGATCAACATGTCTTAGCCTCAGCATCACTACACGCTACCGCAACAAAACTGCTATCTACCACACAACAACATAAATCCATGACTCAAACACAGTCACAGCTCCTACAACAACAGACCGCTCTCCTCAACACGCTACAATCTCAATCTCAGCCTTGTACTACTCCAACAACAACATCTGTCAAATTACCAAAATTTGAAATTTCCAAATTTTCCGGAGATTTTTTGAAATGGAGCGAATTCCATGACATGTTCATGTCCTCGATTGACAGTAACACGGGACTGTCAGATGTACAAAAACTCACCTACCTCAAGGACCACGTTACTGGGTTGGCCCATGACGCCATCTCCGGCCTCCCTTTGTCGAACGCAAACTACACCATTGCGTTGGATATCCTTCGTGCCCGATTCGGCACTAAACAAGTACTGGTGGATTCGCATTACACGTCAATGCTCGACTTACCTTCCGCGTCGAACACCACGACCTCGTTACGCAAGTTGTATGACCAGTTAGAAATTCACTTGCGTAGCCTTGATGCTCTCGGCGAGAAAACTGACTCAGGCGTAATTATCTCCATCATGACAAGCAAACTTCCACGTGCTACACTTTTAACCCTTGAGCTAAAAAAGGGCCCAACGCCGTGGACCTGCCAGGACTTAAGAGACGCTCTGGAGTGTACATTGCGGCACACGAAGCGGCAGATCGCCTTTGCCCTGCAAAGAAGCCCAACGACACGAGCAGCTTCAAGGCCTCTCATGCCACATCCCCTTCCCCATCTCCATCTTCTGGGCATTCATTACCAGCACAAGCAATGTCTCGGCGAAAGCCTACTTGTGCATTTTGCAAGGCCGCACATTATACAGACGAATGCACCAAAGTTACCACGATCAATGACAGACAGAAGGCAGCTAAAGGTCGTTGCCTCAAATGCTTCAGTACACGGCACAGTACACGTGAATGCACTAGCACAATCACTTGCTATCATTGCAAAACGTCTGGCCATCACCGCAGTTTGTGCCCGACTAAATTCACAGCCTCATCCCAAACCAGCCTAAGCGCTCATGCGGAGGTTTTCACACCTCACGCCAACACACTTACAGCGAACGGTGGTAGCCATGTCGTAATGCAAACGGCTGTAGCATCATGCTCAACACACGATGGTGACATTGTCAATGCGAGAATCTTGTTCGACACTGGTGCAAATCGAACGTATGTCACTTCACACTTAGCAACACGTCTCAACCTGCCTACAGTCGGTAAGCAGTATATTTCTTTAGCAACCTTTGGCAATAGCAAGCGACACACAACAGAATATGACCAGGTGGAAGTTAGGGTGCAGTGCAATGATGGCTCTATGCACCTCCTCAAAGCATGTGTGTTACCAGAAATAACTGCACCGATTCAGAGGGTAGAATTGGCAAAGCGGTATCCAGTCTTGCAATCCTTGCCCCTTGCCGAACCGCTAGCTTCTTCTTCAGGCTCATTGCCCATCGACATACTGGTGGGCCTCGATCACTACTACCATATTGTGGGTCCAGACCGCTTGGAACTTCCAGGGGGACTTGTCCTCCTGCAGTCTTCCCTCGGCTTCATTTGTACAGGTACGGTACCTACACCGGCCACGTCGGAGGGTCAATCATGTCTTGCAGTCCACAGTCACAGCGATGGAGATCCCTCTATGGACTTGCAGCGGTTTTGGGCAGCGGAAGAGTTCCCTGTCCCAGACAACGCAGACCACGAAGACATCGTTCTTCAGCAATTCCTCCACACACTCTCTTTCGAGGACTCTCGCTATGTTGTCGAGTGGCCATGGCGGGACCTGCACGACGAACTTCCATCCAACTACGGATTAGCACTGGGCCGACTGACCTCCCCTTTGAAACGTGTCACGTCAAAGCGTACTCTTCTTCAACAGTACAACAGTGTGTTGCAAGATCAGTTGACCAAAGGCATTATTGAGATAGTACCGCCTGGGCCCACTTCGAATTCTGTGCATTATCTTCCCCACCACTGCGTAGAGAAGCCTTCACACACGACTACAAAGCTCCGAATAGTCTACGATGCTTCCGCCAAGCTCTCACGCTCCCACCCCAGCCTGAATGACTGCCTAGCTGCTGGCCCGAACCTCGTCCCTGATCTCGCTGGAGTCCTCCTGCGTTTCCGCCTTTCGCCTATTGCCATTTCCAGTGACATAGAAAAAGCTTTCCTTCAACTCAGCCTATGCAAAGCGGACAGAGACGTCACTCGTTTTCTGTGGGTCAAGGACCTTGATCAACCACCCTCACCAGAGAATCTTGTAGTCTACCGCTTCTGTCGTGTGCCATTCGGGGTGATCAGTAGCCCCTTCCTTCTAGCAGGGAAGATGCATTGAACTCCCGACACAACAAGAGCACAGTAATTTTAGTTATAATTCATACATTTACATTTTAATGGATACCTGTTCGCAGTCCTCGTAGAGCCCTGAAAAGGTCTTTGGTGGGGAATATGTTGTGTATCGGTAGAAAGACTTTTCATGGCTCATTTTTGTTGTGGTCCTTTCGTTTATTTTGGTTTGTTTTGCGTTCTGCTTTGACTCGTATTTGACTGTTTGTACATGATCCAAGTAACGGTTACGTCATTGTCATACGTTGTGTTTTGTTGCGCGCATGCTCATATGCTGCCATAAATGTTAGTCTTTTTCTTCAGTTATCAGTTTTACCTCGTCGTGTCCGGTCTTCTTGTCTGTCCGTCTTCGTCTTGTCAAGATATTATGTAGAACTTTTAGTTCAGTTGCGCTGTTGTGTGTGGCGAGTCGGATGGGCGGGGAGGCTGGGCCCCTGACGCCTGGAGAAGATGTGCTGGTGCACGAAAGCAGGATCTACATAGTGAGCAGCTTTGTGTTACGGATTTCGTCTCGTATTGATTTACGCATGTCGTTGTATTTTGTTCTTGTCTTGTGGAGTCCAGTGTCTGATGTCATATATGGCCTAGGTGTACGCGCGAGTATGGTGTGATGTGTGACGTTTATGGTATGTGGTGCATGCAAGAGTACGCGTTGTCAGAGTGTGAGGATGTGCTTCCGTCTGTGTGAGAGTGACTGTCAAGTGAATGCTGTACATGCGCAGTGCTAGTTTGGTCTGGGAATGAGAGTCATGTGTGATTCGTCCGTGGTCTGGTTGTCTTGGTCTTGGTCATGTGTTCTGTACGTATTCGTCCCTGATTGGTCGTCTCGATTTGTCGTCGGTTTATTACTGCTTGTTCGTTGTTGTTTTCTTCGAGTCTGGACTTAGTCTTTTCCCGGGAGTCTTCCCGTTGTCCTTTTTGTCCTCACCAAGTTTGTCTCTCTCCTCCTGCGCCCTCGTCATTTCTTGGTATAATATAAGAGTATTGAAGATACAATCAAGAGTTTGCATTGTTGTGTGGCGAGGGCCAGGGGGAGAAGCATTTCCTTTACATCTGTGCTGAGCTGTCACACCCTTTTAGTACAACGTGGTTTGGCCAGTGTCTTGTCCCACGTGCTTAGCATGTAGGTTGAGCGTATGGCCTAGGTGTACGCGCGAGTATGGTGTGATGTGTGACGTTTATGGTATGTGGTGCATGCAAGAGTACGCGTTGTCAGAGTGTGAGGATGTGCTTCCGTCTGTGTGAGAGTGACTGTCAAGTGAATGCTGTACATGCGCAGTGCTAGTTTGGTCTGGGAATGAGAGTCATGTGTGATTCGTCCGTGGTCTGGTTGTCTTGGTCTTGGTCATGTGTTCTGTACGTATTCGTCCCTGATTGGTCGTCTCGATTTGTCGTCGGTTTATTACTGCTTGTTCGTTGTTGTTTTCTTCGAGTCTGGACTTAGTCTTTTCCCGGGAGTCTTCCCGTTGTCCTTTTTGTCCTCACCAAGTTTGTCTCTCTCCTCCTGCGCCCTTGTCATTTCTTGGTATAATATAAGAGTATTGAAGATACAATCAAGAGTTTGCATTGTTGTGTGGCGAGGGCCAGGGGGAGAAGCATTTCCTTTACATCTGTGCTGAGCTGTCACACCCTTTTAGTACAACGTGGTTTGGCCAGTGTCTTGTCCCACGTGCTTAGCATGTAGGTTGAGCGACACGCGCTTTCCCACGTAGGTGACATGCCTTCTTGGCAGACGCGTCATGTGATCCAGGCCGGAACCTGGTCAGGTAGGTTCTCGCGTTGTACGTTTCCTGGAAGTGCTTCACTTCCTGGAAATGTGACTCCAGGCTTTGTGCAAAACCACGTCACTACGACGTTCTACAGGTTTCCACGATGCCTCGGTGCTTTGTGCAAAGAGCCAAGACTAACCAACCGAGCTAAGTGCAAAGAGTGCAGAGCCAAGACGTGTGCAAGAACCAAAACCGTCACCGCAGTGACCGCCCGAGAGGTCAGAGTATCAAGCAAGACCAAGAATGCAGCAGAACTTACCATAAGAAGCCGCTGAAATATGGCACGTTGGGTGAGCGGGCTCCCCAACGTGCAACATATACTCACATTGTACTCTGATGTGGGTGAGCCTGCTCCCCACGTCCCAATTTGGTCTTTCTTCTCTCGATGTCTTTCTTTCTCTTTCTTCTCGAATGATCACCGTACGTATATTCTGCATTTCTGCTGACTGGCTGCGCACATTCCGGTTTGACTCGTTCTGCTATTTCCTGGAATTACCTCGCAATGATCACGACATATATCTCTGAAGCACCGTATAAAAGTAGCTCTCATTCTCTTTCTTACTTCAGTCTAGTCTAGCAGTCGAGACTCGGTCTCATCTCTCTGTCTTCATTTACTTTGAGCTCGGATTTGATACTACTCACAACGTAAAACTAACAGTGTTTGTCTGTTGATCGTGTTGGGTTGAACTTGGACCAAGCCAGCTATTTTGGTTGGCCCCTGGGTTGTGTTGGGCTTGTCGTGAGGCCACACGTCTATATTCAGTCGCCGCTCGTAGTGATTTCGGGGTCCGGTCACTGTGAGCCGGGGATGCGACACATGCAAGAGTACGCTTTGTCAGAGAATGTGAGGATCTGCTTCCGTCTGTGTGAGAGTGACTGTCAAGTGAGTGTCGTGCATGCGCAATGCTAGTTTGGGCTGGGAGTGAGAGTGATGAGTTATTCGTCCGTGGTTTTGTTGCGTTGGTCTTGCACATGTGATAAGGAAAAAGTAGAAAGGAAAGAGACATATGGATACAATTGTCAAAAGGGCCGCACATGCTACTGTCGGAGCGCTAGCAACTCTGTCCAAAGTGAATTTTGACGAAGGCACATCGATCGTGGTGAGGACCTAATCTTTTCTTAACCTGCCATGGCCGTGGAATGCAAAATTCCGTACTATGTTTCCATGGTTACCATGGGCTATTATCCCTTGTACTATCACGTCTAAAATTTGTGGAATCCTTCATTAGTCCCTTAGCCGCGGTCAAGTTTTAGGTCAATGTTCGAACAGAGGCTGTACAGTGTTGCACAATAATAGTATCTAGTTACAGTGGTGGAACTGAGTGACTCTTAGCTCGTATCCATACGCAGAGCTGCCAACCAGCTGGGTCTGCAAGTTGGTAAGGAGATACATGTAGTATACGGCAAGTGGCAAATTGTTTCACTCACGTCTGGTGCAAGGGTTGCCGTAATACACTCCTCTTGTATTATGAGCGAGATAGTGATGACCGGAAGGTGGTGAGCCAGAGAGATATCGGCAATGGACCGTAACGTTGGGAACAGGCTCCAGCTTTCCTTTACATTTAGGAGTCTGACCAGGGCCTCCCGCGAACATTTGGGGGAAGACACCCTTTGCAGAGCATTGGACTACATTGGACAAAAGGCACAGAACACACCAGAAAATGTGGTAAGTGGAATTTTGCTGATGTGGCCCTGGAAATGTATGCACCGTATTTGCCAGAATGTGCACTACAGTCCATTTCAAAAATATAGACGCATGGTATTTTTGAAATATTTCAAACTTGGCTGGAGCTTTTTGAGAATTTGTTTCGGAATATTCCTCAGGTCCTTCACGCAATTACTGTCATATCGATTTTTTTAAAGCGATCGGATAGCAAACGCCCAATTTCGAAGTGATCACAGATTTTATGTGGCATAGATGCTGGCCTAACGGTTTTATGAAATCACGCGTCTGTATTTTTGAAACGCACTGTAGATGCGCCATTTCACGCCCCAAATCGCACCGTGCACATTGTTCTGCGAATACCGTATTATCTCTAATATAAGCACAGTCTCCAATAATAGCACGTCTCCAATAATAGAACACCTTGGGGCGGCATTCAAAAAATAAAGTGCTCAGTCTCCATTATAAGCACACTGTGTAAATTCATTATCTGTACCGGCGAAAAAACCCTGAAATGTGTGTGTCATACATGAATTTGGCATAGCAACAAGCCTCTGAAATGAGGTTGAAATAATAATGGAACAGTCTCCAATAAAGGACCGTCTCCAATAATAGCACGGGGCGGAGGTACATCGAAAAAATAAAGGACCGTGCTTATATTAGAGATAATACGGTATGAGAATGCATTCACTTGGAAAAGTAGTGCAATGTATCGAACTGTTGGGAAATCTGACCCTGCACAAGCCATATCCATGCATTTGTGGTGTATCCTGCTTGCTACACTGCAAATGCAAGTTGAGTACGTGACCCCTTGGGTAGCACGTGCATTAAAAAAAATGCGCACATTTTGACAATTTCTTGATAATTTTGCCAATGGTCGCTCTGCCATAGTTTTCTCTCATCTAGGCTGTGCAATATACAGTACTCAGGATATAACTTGAATTCCCAAAGCGCTGGTCAAAAAAGGGTGCACATTATGCTCAGGTGCGCGTTATAGGGTGCGCATTATGCTCAGGTGCGCGTTATACTCCCGCAAATGCGGTACACAGAACTGGAAAGCGGCTAATTTTGGCGCCGGTGATATTTTAGCGATTTTAGCAAAAGGAGTGTTTTCGCTAAAGTTTAGTAGTCAGGCCAATTGAAATTTGCATGTACAGTTCAGTACTGGTCATCTTCTTTTTTTCGTACTTTGAAACTCGGATAGCTAAAATTTATGGAACCACAACTTCACAAGGCTGCGAGGTACGAATTACTTGTACTAGCTGTAGCTCCATGCAATCTGGTGCAGGAAGCAAAGCGACAAGCTGGTGAGTGCCACATGGCTCAAACTTAGTCAGAGGTAACTGCCAAGGAACGACCTGGCGTCTTGAGCAATGCGTCTCAATCGCCAGGAATTGTTGCTGGTAATTTTGGACTGGGAGCAAGAAAGTTGGAGTAAGTTGCACAGTTCTTACCGCGGCTCTGTGTGTGTGTGTGTGTGTGTGTTTGTGTGTGTGTGTGTGTGTGTGTGTGTGTGTGTGTATGTGTGTGTCTTTTTCATTTCTTTTCCCCGCACACACATCACTCCACACACTTCGGCATGCACTGGCTGTTGTTGGTAACCACCCAGGAGAATGAAAGAATAGTGACAAGAACGATGTGTGTGACCATAATCGACGGTAATCGAACCCATAATCTCTTGATTGGAAATTGACTGCACATACCACTGCACCACTGACCTTGGCAATCAGCCAAATGAGTCTTCTTTGAGTCATAGACCCATCCCCTATTCTCTATGCAAGATGCTGTCTTTCCAGTGGAAACAAAGTTGCCATTGCAAGAAGCGTTCACACTGCTACCGTAAGTACTCTCCGGAAGGTATCCGTTGGAAACAGTTGTGTTGGGACACGTGGAATCTAGTAACATTCAACAAACCACAAAGCAGAGAACATGTTGAAAGAGAAGCATGCATTGTACCAAGCCGAAGAACAAACTTCTAATCAGTGCAACTCTGTCGCTTCTTGTGCGGATCTAGTTCAGATGGACCTGCGACTATTCGTAATGTCTCAGAGATGGCTGTCCACTAGGCTTTCCCCAAATTGGCCTGTTTTTTTCCCCGCCTATTTGGCTTTTCGCTCGGCTCAAAAATACAGATTCGGCTGCAGAATCAGCTGATTGTTCGAAAATCGGCTTCACAATTGGAATAATTATAGTGGAAAATCGGCTAAAAGAATTGTTGGCATATTTTGGCTTTAAAATTGGTGAGATGTTGGAAGATTTTGTAGATTTTCGGCGATTCTCAAAGGAACCCTCCAAAATCTGCGGATAAGTCTCCAACCGCTTTGGGGAAAGCCGACAGTGAACTAAAATGACGATGAGCAAAGAGGGTCACCTGGTGTCAGTGCAGCACGTCCCATGGTAACACTCCTGTTTGAGCACACCCGGAGCCAAATAAATGGCACAACATTTGTGAATGGGTTTTAAAGTGCTCAATCATGCGTTACACTACACATCACGGCATATAGATGAGTGTTCAAACTTCCGTAACTCACTCAAACGACAAGGGATTCTCACGAATGATGCATCGTTGGAAACGTATTGGACTCAGCTTTCCACTGATGCAACGATCTTTGCAATAGGCAAATGTATGGCTGAGCGCCAACGATGTGAACAGCTGGAAATTTCAAATTTCACCTGCCGGCGATCGACTCGAACTTTTTCCTCGTCACTTCGCGCATGTTGGGTATTTCCCTTGAGAGCAATGTTGTAGACTGCATTTACATGCCGTCGTTGCATGCTACTCTCTCGCTGCCTATTCGTACAACATTATCTCCATTCGCGCATGTCTACAGTATTCTCTCATCATGGCTGCTGGCCCTTACCTGGTTGCTCTGGGCATGCTCGGGCCATTCTCTTGTTTACCTTCGTAATGATAACTACCAACCATAATTACTCCTCGTGTTGCTTGTGACTGTCGTGTGCCACAAGCATGCAGTAACTAAGTGTAAGTTACAACAATTGGCGACGAAGATGGCTAGTAGTTTCAATCTCCACGAGGGTCAGTTCAACCATCTACCTACGTTCGACTCAACAGGTACTCCTGCGGAGGTTGGCCAAGACTGGAAGAAACGGTTCTGCAGCTTTAAACATGGTGGAAGGAATGGGTATTTCTGACACTAAGCTACATTCCGCAGGCCCAACAATTCAAGATTTATTTGACGATCTCACCGATCCTGCAGCAACAAGTCCTCCAGCGGATGACGACGACGAAAGTGTCACGCATGCCGAGTCACCACTTCAAGGCTGAGCCAAACCCTATCTACGAGCGACACTTGTTTCGACAGCTCGCCCCCAAAGCCGGCGAGAGTATCAGTCAGTTTGTTGTAGTTGTAGTTTACGGCAACAAGCTAGATTTTGTGATTTTGGTGATGTAAGTCACAACAATAGTGACACTTTCTAGTGCAGTCATTTGCCGGGTTTGAGACAGAATTCGTTAGAATTTCACCTCGCTAACCCACAAAAATCCGGGTTTGAGACAGAATTCGTTAGAATTTCACCTCGCTAACCCACAAAAATCCGAAAATCCCTGTCAGATAGTGACACTTTCTAGTGCAGTCATTTGCCGGGTTTGAGACAGAATTCGTTAGAATTTCACCTCGCTAACCCACAAAAATCCGAAAATCCCTGTCAGATAGTGACACTTTCTAGTGCAGTCATTTGCCGGGTTTGAGACAGAATTCTTTAGAATTTCACCTCGCTAACCCACAAAAATCCGAAAATCCCTGTCAGATAGTGACACTTTCTAGTGCAGTCATTTGCCGGTTTTGAGACAGAGTTCGTTAGAATTTCACCTCGCTAACCCACAAAAATCCGGAGATCGTTAACTTTAAAATGTGAGAGTGTGAGTGAGAGTGTAAGCACTGGACTCGGACGGAGGGCCAAGGATAAATTTATACAAAAGAAAAATGGACCAAGGAACTACAAGTTACGATATGATGTCCACTAACACCACCAGTTACTAAACAATCCGCTCATGCGATAACATTGCACGACACTGACCGACGGTACTAATGTTCTACAACTAACTGGCTCCAGCTCATCTTGGATGCGCACTCCAACAGCCTTCCAACTTGGAAGGCTCTAAGTTATGGTTATCGCATGACCTGATCGCGTAACTTGCAGTTCTGTGGTCCATTTTTCTTTCGCGTAAGCAACTCAGCTATTTTATCAAATCTGATATTTCAGTGTCGCTTGTCTCTTATATGCACTTAGCGCGCATTGCGGAAGTTTGGCGGTATGCAACACGGCGAAATGATTGTCGATTTGATTGCAAGACGATGCGAGTGCGTCTGCGGTCAAAACTCACTACGACACCCTACACGTTTTGACCGTAACTGTTGTTCTCACAACTTTATCAGCTGGTTCTGTGCGGTTGTTTTTCACTCGGTCCAGCCAAAAGGATGTCACACACAAAGTACGTCGTAAGCACCACACTTCCGCTACGATCGAGTGTGGAGATTTTTGTCAACAGAACTTGATACTTCCTCCGTTAAGCAAATCTTCGTTGCATTTTAAACAGTTCAGTCCAATCATTCTATGGCTACAAACACGCTTAGCAAAGTGGAAAACAAAGCAGCATATGAGAGATATTTATTCACAGATGTCACACAGTTCATTTCAAAGCAGTTCAGCTTACTCTTCGTCTGAATCTGATGACGACTGACTCTCTGATGACATCGGCTCTGCATCCATGCTGACTTTCGCCTCTAGCGATGCCATTTTTTGTTCCGCAGCCGTTACAAGTTGCCAAGACACGATTTGATCGTGGAGATGGCCAAGTTCTTCACTCGAACTGTGAGCTTGACGACCTCCACGGTGGCGCTGATAGTTATGGCCACTCCCCGGTATGCCATGGAAGGAGCTATACAGACCCCACCAAACGTTCCTCATCTTCGCAGCGGAGTACTTGTGCCAGCACCAGCACCTTTCCACAGCCTGCAGAAACTCCTTTCTAGTTACTTTTACTTTTTACGAGTGACACGTCTGTCTACAGGCTGTGGAAGAACGCCAAGTCGTCAACGTTGAGGTCAGGACTTTGTGCCGACTGAATGGCAACCTGAATGTGGAACACTTCTGATTTCCCCTTCGCTGCAAACACAAGTGCATTGATTTTGGCTTTGAAATACCGCGTGGCTCGAAGAAGTGCCCAGGAGCCGGCAAGCGCTCAGCCACTGCTATACCAGCACGAGTCGATGGTGCGCATCCGCACACACGAAGCCAAAATCAATGCACTTGTGTTTCTCATTTTCGAACTTTGGTGTCATGCGTGCGTGCCTGGGGTTGTGTTCTGGAAACATACTGTCGAGAAACGGTTCTGCTTCGCCGATTTTTTCGAAGGACTCCATGCTCTTCGGAGGTTCAAAAGCCTGTCAGAACAATGGACGGCAACTCGAAGCAGTTTTGGCTGTGCTCCTGTGAAGCTGACTACTACTGGCTACACACAAGTACGTACCCTGGGAACCTTCTAAACACAATTTCCCCAGAACATCGAAGCCATTGTAATTCGCATCATCACTTGTACATAGGATAGTTGCTGTAGTGCCTTGAGTACTATAACGCTGCTTCGCACTTGGGTTCAGTCTATAGCCATCCTGGCATTTAAGGGTAGTGCTCCTTCCCACTGAGGTAGCTAGCAGATTCAAGCCATGCATTTGGTAAGCTTGACATTGTTTGACTGAACAGGGCAACAAAGACAAAACATGTAGCAGTATGTGATAGATTGCAATAGATTGGCACTGTGACTGCAAGGTTAGGAAGAAAGTTAACCAACCTGACACAAAATAAATATGAGCCAGAGCACGCTAACATATGACCACAGACCAAAAATTCGATTTTCAGTTTTTTGTTTAAAATTGATCTAACACACCTAATGTTCACTGTCTGAAAGTTTTGGATTGATCGGACATGTCTAAGTGTTGGTACAATGGTATTATATGCAGCACTGTTGAAATGGCGAAATTCTATGTACAGCAATGGGATTGTCATTTTTGCACACAATTAATATGCCCCTTGGTTCATCCTTTCCGGGTCAATTCCTCTGTCCAGGGTCTTATAGCATGAGCTGACAGGTACTCAGCCACATCCAAATTGTCTATAGGCAGCTGAGCTGGGTGTCCGAAACACCTCCTGTTTGGAGCACCACTGGAGAACCGCCAGCGAAAACATGGTCAACATCTGTAGCTGGCCAAAGAAGTTGGCACTCCACGTCCTCTCCATCACACTCCACCTGTACTTTCAGATATACAGTATACACTGCTGCACACAGTCTTCCTCAACATACTAGATGTCGCACTCATATTCCCCACACCAAAGCCCATCTGCACACGGTTTTCTCCGCTCGCCAGAGAGCACTGCTTTCGCTGCATACTGCTCATGCTAGCGATGTTCCGCATAAGGGTACTCAAATTATCGACTTGAGCAAGTTGAGGGAGCAGCAGAGTCCATTGATTGTTTTTGCACTTGCAACCAATACTGGCATTGTCCCGGATATGTGCAGCGGTGTCCATTCTGGCCAAATCATCGGCCGACTCACCTCCCAAGTCAGTGTCGATGCCAGTCGCTTGCCAGGTTGTCATCAGAGTAGAATTCCTCGTCACTGCAGATCGTGGGACTACCAGCATCAATTCTGTTTACGCTCGATGAAAGTGTCGCCCTCAAATGACTCGTCGCTGTAGCCATCATCGTCTTCCTTCTGTTTCCGACCCGAATCCTCAAAATATTTTATCCTGCGCATGGAGTGCGATGATGTCGTCTTCTTCCGCTCCGCAGTACATTACTACTACTAGGCTCTTCTGTCGATACATCGATGACAATCAGTTTTAGGCGACTCAGCGCAACGTGGAATACAAACTCAAACAAATAAACTTACTTGCAACAAAGAATTGCATCCGGAACAGTCCAGTCAACCGAGGAGAACAACAACAGCGACTCGCGTTGCACTGCACTTCGTATTTTTTGCCGCGGAATTCAAATCGCGATTATCTCGACTTTTTCAAAAAAAGCTGTGGTCATGTTTTAGCGCGCTCGGGCTCATATTTTAATACTAGGACATCATAGCAAAGAGTCCTTAGCCGAGTCAGAGAAACATCTCTCTCACCGCCGATTCCACGAGTCCTGACTGCTGTTCGTGCTGAGTGTCGAAATCCAGCATACTCTGACATGGCTGAAATTATGTATTTTACACTGCCTGTTTGCAGAAACTTGGAATTTGTTTACGGCGATGACAGTGAGGACCAGCCGTCAGCAACTAGCGCTAGTGCCGGAAGCGCCGCCAGCGCCGCGATCGACTCGACGAACACTCCTCAGACAACTCTGATGGAGGAGCAGGTGCAGCAAAGCGAATTTGTTACGGAGAGCCACCAGATGCAGAACACAGCGGCGATGAGGAGTTTCAGTCAGGACTCGTGGAATCGGTGGTGAGAGATGTTTCTCTGACTCGGCTAAGACTCTTTGCCATGGTTGTGAAGTTCACTGATGCCCAGTGCAGCAATACTATCCTTTTATCTTGTGAAAATACAGTATTGTTGTGGCAGGCATTTTGTTGCGGTCCTTTTCAGATGAGAAAAAGTGGTCACCTTGGCCAGGTGGTCTTCTTATCCAGGTTCAATGGGTCACGTGACTATATTCACAATAATTATACATGATGTGACCGCACGACTCATGAGTCACGTGAGTGGGGGCATATCAGACCTGCCAAGTGCCCTGCTACGTTTCCCGCGCTGATGTGTGGATCGTCACTTGGTGCACAGACAGTGCAATGCGTGCACGTACATGCAGTTTTCAAAGCGGTCGCGGGTGGGTTTTACTGCACATTATTATGTGTTGTAGGTCAAAACGCAAGGATTTTTCTGAGTCAATCTAAGTACTTTTGGTATGTTACATGTAGAAAAAAATAGTCCATGCACGTAGTGCACTGACCAAACTGACATAGCTGTGCACTGGTACGGTATGCGATGCACAACTGCTGGATTGTAAGATCGAATTATGTACAGTTTGAGCGATTTGTTGCAGAAAATCGCTGCTGGAGCCGGAATTCAAGTGCGGATTAAAGTGTAGAAAATGAACTGAAAAATCCGTTTTGTCAGAAAGTGTGCTGGCTTGCAAGGGTTCTGGATAAACAAGTGCCGGATTTTCAAACAAGTGCCAGATTTTTTTAGAGAGGGATGACTGTACGAGTACATGCTTCTGTCAATCAATAACACAACGACTAATGACTGATGAACCAAAAAAGTGTCCAAAAAAAGTGTTATTCCGGCCGACTGAGTCTCTTTTTGAGGGGTTGCCGGACCGAAACAAGCCTATTTTTTGTTTTGGCCAATTCAAACGAGCTTGAAGACATGCAGTGCAATCTATACTCACCTATTGTACAGGCCTCATGAAGGCCGTCAATCCAAACATTCTTGTTGTCACAGCGAACAGTAACACTAGCATCTTTGCTATTAGCTATACATTTCACATCCATGGTCATAGTCTGGCCATGGGTAAGAGTTGTCCCGCTGATACGGTTTTTTTCACGCTCTATAACGTCGTAAAACAAACCCCTTTCTAATTTGTTCTCCGTTACAAGACACTTCCCTGCAACAAGTAGATATAAGAGACACAAAGAGAAAAGAGAGAGAGAGAGAGAGAGAGAGAGAGAGAGAGAGAGAGACACACACACACACACACACACACAAAGAGAGAGAGAGAGAGAGAGAGAGAGAGAGAGAGAGAGAGAGAGAGAGAGAGAGAGAGAGAGAGAGACAGAGACAGAGAGAGACAGAGAGGCAGAGAGGCAGAGAGGCAGAGAGGCAGAGACAGAAACAGAGAGACAGAGACAGAGAGACAGAGACAGAGACAGACAGAGAGACAGAGAGAGAGAAAGAGAGAGATATATAAAGAGAGATATATATATAAAGACAGGAGAGAGAGAGACACACACACACACACACACACACACACACACACACACACACACAGAGTTACATTTATAAAGACAGGTAAGCCTAACAAAATACGGGAGAGCATGACAGAGCATGAATAGCTGCAAATTCTCTGAAAATTGTGTCCCGATCTGACCGGCCGTTCAAGAGTTATGGCCGAAAATGTGCCCTTGCAAGGAAAGATTTTTTTGTTGCACGCTGCCATTTGTCGGCAGCACTGTATTTGAATGTAAGCAGACCGTGCGCAACTTGTCGTATCATGGAAACACGTGAAAGTGTGCAAGAATGAGCAAGAACGAAAACGAAGCCAGAATTTATACTGGGGGTAGAGAATCAGCAAGAAATTCTTACGTGCCTCAAGTTCACACTACACTACCATAAGAATGTATGGAGCAGTGGAAAAATGCGGGAAACAACACATGAGGGGAATGCAGTACCAGAACGAACACGTGATAAAGTTGTCAGTGTGGAGGCGCGTAAGAATATTCTTGCTGATTCTCTACCCCCAGTATAAATTCTGGCTTCGTTTTCGTTCTTGCTCATTCCCATGTACCTACCTATGTGAACTTGAGGCGCGTAAGAATATTCTTGCTGATTCTCTACCCCCAGTATAAATTCTGGCTTCGTTTTCGTTCTTGCTCATTCCCATGTATCTACTGATGAAAATGGGTGAAAAGCTTTTAGTGTTATGAAACTGACAACCTTGTTGTTGTGTGTATACAAATTTTGTTCGCCTACGTCTCTATATATATGAGCATCGCTGGCTACAAGCGAGGGTCCCTGGTTCGAGTCCTGGTGGTGACAGTCAATTTTTTCTTCAGACTTTTCCCGTTTGTCTCTTTCCCTCAAACCAGTTAATATACTGCTCCATACATTCTTATGGTAGTGTAGTGTGAACTTGAGGCGCGTAAGAATATTCTTGCTGATTCTCTACCCCCAGTATAAATTCTGGCTTCGTTTTCGTTCTTGCTCATTCCCATGTAACTACTGATGAAAATGGGTGAAAAGCTTTTAGTGTTATGAAACTGACAACCTTGTTGTTGTGTGTATATATATATATATACACACAACAACAAGGTTGTCAGTTTCATAACACTAAAAGCTTTTCACCCATTTTCATCAGTAGTTACATGGGAATGAGCAAGAACGAAAACGAAGCCAGAATTTATACTGGGGGTAGAGAATCAGCAAGAATATTCTTACGCGCCTCAAGTTCACACTACACTACCATAGTTGTTTCCCGCATTTTTCCACTGCTCCATACATTCTTATGGTAGTGTAGTGTGAACTTGAGGCGCGTAAGAATATTCTTGCTGATTCTCTACCCCCAGTATAAATTCTGGCTTCGTTTTCGTTCTTGCTCATTCCCATGTAACTACTGATGAAAATGGGTGAAAAGCTTTTGGTATTATGAAATTGACAACCTTGTTGTTGTGTGTATATAAATTTTGTTCGCCTACATCTCTATTTAAATATATATATATATATATATATATACACTCAGACACAAAGGATCTCCAAGTTTCTCACTGTTGCTACTCTGAGTTTCGTGCAAAAGCACTCTTCAGGCAACTTACTCTTCTCTCACATCAGTATCCCTTTACATACCAGAAAAGACGAAAAGAAGCACCCTAGGTGGGAATCACAGGTGGGGAAAAGAAGCACGCTAGCCAGTTTAGGTGGGAATCACAGGTGAAGATAAATGTGGCAAGTGTGGTAGTGTGAGCAATCGCGCAGGCCGGGTGGTGTGCATAAAGTGAAGTGTGGCAGTAGGATGCATGCACATTAGATAGCAGGAGTTCTGTATCTGTGTGACAGATAGCAAGCGCAGTCTACAGTTCAGGTCACCTCCGATAGGAGGTACTTGGTGCTGTGGCGACATTTTGTGACCAGGCTGCATCTGGTGTTGAGGAGCGATGCCTTGTCACTCTTCATTATGGCGATCTTCTCCGATAGGCATAGGTTGCACCGCTTCGAGGTTCTTTTGTAGGCGCTGGATCTCTGCCTGATTCTCCACGAGA